CACAAAGTGAATCCCCCCCCAAAAAAAAAAATAAAACAAAAAAGAAACTCCATAGTCAAAGGCACTGTACGGGGAAGAGTGAAATTGTAGATAGTTGGAAATACGGAAACCGAAACAGTAGTCCAAAACTGTACAGATGACTGGAAAACAGAAGTCCGACATTCGGGGACGGAAACCTGATAAGAGTGACAGCCCATCTGTGTCGAAGGATTGTACATATCCAAACAGATACCGAGTGGAAAAAAGACAAGGGTAGTTAAGCTAAGAGGGTATGAAAACCCTAACCAGGAGACTGGATCACATAGGTCCTGTTAGGCCCCCTGGTCGAGAACCTTGGGATGATTGTAACCGAGGGTTAGAGACACTGAGTGATATGGCTGGGTGTCGCAAACAGTGGCGTTCGTGCATCTTCTCAATTGCTCTGCAACCTTAGACCACTGAAATTCCCGATTATCTTTCTCACTCTACTTTCAACTTTCCTGTCTTTCTCTTATTCTTCATCCAATGGGGCAGCCAAAAAAACAGCAACCAAAACCGCCGCACGAAAGTGCATGGTTAATGGTTGTACAAACTGAACTGAACAGAACATATCCAAACGAGGAATTTCTATCTGATAGTACTACCGTTTACAAAAGAAGTATAATTCATTATTTCGCTCGCTTTCTGACCGGCAACGCATTAACTATTTCCAATCTGAAAAACTACCTAATACGCTAGATTATTCTAGCACCGTTCTCGCACTTCTTCGTTAACCGCTGCTTGCGTACCTGTTTGCAGCCTAACTACTGTAAATTGTGTGATGTGTTGAAACTTCACCAGGTTGGTGCATAGTACTTATCTTCAGTTGAGTTAGGAGAATGATAAGACCGGACAATAACTAGGGAACAAGCTGCCTGAATTGCACATAAACCGGGGTGGAATATTGTTGCTCAAGCCAGTGATAAGAAGGGTACACAAAGCACATGATGAGTTTCATGGATTATCATTATCAATATTATTATTATTATCTATAACTATCACTTGCGTTTCGCCGGCAAAATGCATCGTCACAAATCGGTCGATACACTTGAACCTCATTGCATCTGTCACTGTGTGAAGCAGTATCAGAAACGATTTCGGAAGGAGAGGTTGGACAAACAATACAGAATTTGTTATGGCTTTGCTGAGGCACACAAACAGACAGACAGACAGACGGTTCGAACGGATGATGCACAAGCCCAACTGAGTCACGCAGGCCAGCATATCGAATAACTGACGGTATTTCCGCAAGTTAACAGAATATGGCTTTAGGTAGTACCCTCAAAATGAGGTACTGTTTCTCTCTCTATCTGCTCGTGCATGTGTTTAAGAGAGAATGAGAGCACACCATCGCGATGTAGCAGGCCACATCCGTCACAAAATAAATAAACATTTACACCGAGCACCGTAGTTCGAGATAAAAAAAAACAACATTCTGACACTGACCTTGAAAGCGCCGGTACAATAACAACAATTATAATAGCTGAACAAAACAAAAACAACCCGCAGGTGACTCTATCACTTGATCGTGTGAAATAGTTAAGATATGAGGAAAAATATATGTGGCACAGTACCGGTACCCCTGATTAGAATAATATTTAGCAGTATCGAATGAAAACTGATGATAGAAAAGAAAAACATTAGGTATTCCTGGCATCGAATTAGAGTGGAAATGGGGAATATGTGAACTGAGTAACACAGTACTGTTTAGTTCGCCCTCACCTGAATAATAGGAAACCAGGCTGGGTGCAGGGCCTGGTATATCACGGAAACTGTGCTGCCGATTACAAGAGTCAATAGACAACGGGAAGGAATAAAGATGATGTGGAAAAAGAAGACGAATCATGCCAATGATTCGGCCAGACAGTATTAAAGGAGAAGACATCAAGAGATGGTGGTCTTGGTGGCGTTCATCAAAAACAAGGCTTATTTGAAGAGAAGCTACCGGAAACAACAGATCACAGACTTATTTGTTTTTGTTTTTTTATCATCCATACTTCCTTTTATTGAATATACGAAGATACAATTTTTAAGAAGGAAGCGGCCAAACAAAGGACTTTCATAGGACATAGAATGAGGAAGTTAGACGGTGGTGGGATTCAAACACATGTTCTCCGGGGTGATCATTAGGTGACGTTACTATCGAACCACAACCGCCCGGTTCGGCAAATGGTAAAACTGCTCTAGTTTATCTATGGAGATGGAAATTGTTTTAATCGAGAATCAGGTTGATTTTCGATAAGAAGAAGCGAGCAAGGAGGGAGAATTATCTCAAAAACTGAAATTCTGCTGTACTGTTCTATAATTGTTGTATATATATATATATGAAATATATATACATACGACGAAATCCAACCGTTTTCTGCTACCAACCTCAAGCAAGAAGATATAATCACCTTCACCTATGAAAAATATGACTTTCGCGAATGCGCCTTTATAGTGACAGTTACCAAAAACCTGCCATATCAATGCAAGAAATTTGAGACATTCAGATTATTATGTACAGGAGACCAACAACAACGTCACTAGTATTTACTCTCCTTCCAACTTGGGCGGGATGGGTATTTACTTCTGTTGACAGGGAAAACGAAATTCATTGAGAAACTATGTTAGTAGATAATCTTTCCCCGCCTGCTGAATTCCTCGTTGGCCACCACTGATATAAACCCACGGTCCAATGGACTGACAATGCAATTTGAATTGTTGGTAAAACAAGTGCTCTGCTTTGTTAGGTGTCCCATAACGGCTTCATATCAGGTGGCCTCAGCTGCATTTCAAATTGAGCCATCATTTTCCAAACAGTAGCGCGACGAAAAAAAGGCTAATCCGCCCGAACTACTCTCCACAGTGGTTGTGTGCAACTTTTCTCAGCTGCGATCAAATTCAACCATCGTCTTTCTTTGACGTGACCAGTTTCTTTCATCTTAGTTCATATCTGCATGAACAACTTCCATTAACTGTGCAATAAACAGAGCTTTTTGTTCACTTCAATGTATTTGTGCAAGTCAGGAACTGAGTCATCGGATGTGCCTCTCGATTAGGTTGCCTTCGGCTTCAATTATATGCCAAAAAATTATGAATATTTCATCCGTTTTTGGGATGGTGACACAACAAAACGCTTGTTCGACGAGCACAACTCAATGTCAGCTTTCGTAGGTCAGCTTGTATGTTTCGTGGAATATATTTTTTAGTTCTTTCAGTATGAGGGATAACGCGTAAGTAGTTTGTAGCTAAATGCTATATCAATTTGTGTGGGTTAGAAAATTTGCATTAATTGGCTTATTATTGTGCACTGAATGCGAAGAGATAAGCCGTTTAGAGTGTCTGTTCAACTTTTAAGCACTCATGAAACAGCAATCATTTGTTAGAAGGAATGAACTTTTATGCTGCTTAGATTAGAATATTTTTCGAATCTGAGCAGTAAATTTCGAACCACTATAAATCTTATCGTGACGCTCAAGTTTGCGCAAATTCAAACGGCAATAGAAGATAACCAGGAACATAGAATAGGGAGATAAAGTCCGGAATAAATACACTTGACCCATAATCATCAATATATAATTATGATATTGGATATTGAAATGTATTTCCACGATGAGAGTGATGTTGCACGAGCTTGATTAACACCTGCATATATATATCACCGGCTTGCGAGAAAAGTTGGTGCCAACACAACAACAAGCATAACAGAACATGGACGGTGAAAGGGAGTCACACAGTTAAGTTGAATAAGGAAAAGAACATTTTTATTTTGTTTGTTTCACCGTATACTTCTGATATTTTTTGTATTTTAGTTTATTGTTGTTGTTTTTTATGGGGCACGGGGTTTCAAAGGGGAGACCGTACAGTATTCGCGCCACTGACTTCTATTCTGGACTGTATCTCTCTGCGTTTCTAACCAACGACAATCTTCATCCCTTGGAAACCAGCCCGGGCTGCATCAACCAAAGCCAATCTCTCCATACCCCTACGCCATGTCATGATCTGACCACTGTTTCGGTCAGCCTTGCCCGGAACGTGGAAAGAGAGCACGGAAAGGTAGTCGATGGGCAGGTATACGCAATACGTGACCAAGCCAGTAGAGGCGGTGCTAAGCAATTACTTCTTTTAGAAGACGACTATTCTAACCCAACACACGACGACGATGAACCTCACCCACCCGATGTTCTCACGAGACACGATCACAGTTTTGAAGACATCGGTGGTCGAATACACAAAGTCGATTAGCATTTTCAACGCGGAGGGGTCAGGTCTCGCAACTGTAAAGCAGAACGCTAAGAACTGCGGCGATGTACACACATCCTTTAAGGGACAAGCGGATGTCATGGCGGCGCCAGAGGTGTCGCAGTTTGGCGAAAACTGCTCTAGCTTTCGCTATTCGTGATGCGATCTCCTCCCTAACACCAACATC